ATTTAAGCTAGAAGAGCTAGTTAAGAACAAGCCTACACTATAGGCCAAGCTTTTATAATTAATAATAAATCTCCCTGTCATAATTTGTAAGCTGACAGTCCAAAGAAAAATCTATTACACACACAACTCTTATAAAGGAAAACATTTAATTGGAGTGCTTATAGTTTCAGAGTTTTAGTCCTTTATCATCATGGCAGGACAAGGCAGCGTACAGGTAGACATGGTACTAGTGAAGGAGCTTAAGAGTTCTACATCTTGATCCACAGGCAACAGGAAGTAAACTGTGATGTGGCCATAGCTTGAGCATAGAAGACCTCAAAGCCTACCCCCACATACTTCCTCCAACAAGGCCACATCTAATCCAAGAAAGCCATACTCCCTATAGTGCTAATCCCTTTGGGGACATTCTTTTTCAAACCATGATATAGGTGTTTTGCCTGCATATATGTCTACATATGCCATGTGTATCTCTGATACCCTCATCCATGGTTACCAGCTCCTATCAGACCCTTCCAACAGATTACAAACCAACTACCTACCTACACATCTTCCCATCGGTTCCAAAACATTCCTCTTCTGTGTCAATAAAATCTAAAATCAGTCTTAAAGCACCAATTCCTATCAAATCCCTTCTAAATAATGATGTTCCTTTTCCACTCTTCTGGATAACTCAGAAAAAAAAAATAACTATTTGCCGACTATTTTTATTAACTAATACTCAGTTTTTCCTCTTTTAAAAGGTATACAGTAAAAACACTACTCTACCTTGTTCATCATGTTGTACTATCCTACCCTCGATAACAGTGACTCCTAGTTTTGCTCACCATTCCCTGCTGTGGTGATCTGAATACAACTGATCCCATAACCTCACAGGGAGTAGCACTATTAGGAGTTGCGGCTTTGTTGGAGTGGGTATGGCCTTGTTGGAGGAAGTGTGTTACTTTAAGAGTGGGTTCTGAGGTTTCCTATGCTCAGGATACCACCCAGTGTCTCAGTCGACTTCCTGTTACCTGCAAGATGTAGGACTCTCAGCTTCAGCACCATATCTACCTGCAGGCCATCATGCTGATGATCACGATGATAATGAACCTCTGAAACTGTAAGCCACAACCTCAATTAAATGCTTTCCGTGGTCATGGTGTCTCTTCACAGCAATAAAAACCCTAAGACACCTGCTTTTATGAACTGTGGGTATATATGATTTCTCTAAATGTTAGTCTCGATTCCAAAGCCCATTTTATCTTCCTCATTCCAATACCTTTTTCACTCTGGTAATTTGTTCAAGATAAGGAACTTAAATTTCCTCTCTGACCCTACTTCTTGCATTCTACTATGTCACAGCATAATTTTGCTGAACCTGTTCTTGATTCTGAATACTTCAGTCCCGTCTATTTTCTTCTTACCTTTGTAATCTTTTGCACTCTTACTCACAAACCATGGAATTATTATAAAAATGTCTTCCTAGCATTTCCTACCTATTTGCTCTTTCTGCTAACTCTAGGAAAGCAATTACCTGCTTTGTTTCTACACACACCCTGTCAAAGTGGTATTGAATTTGGTTTGACTTTTGACTTTGTTAAGGCATATATACGATATGATATTCATACACCATCATGGGGTAATGATGCATCTTGTCTATTTTACTCACTGCCTTATCCACAAACATTTGTCATTACACAATACATTAGAAGCACTCAAATTTATAAAATCAATGCATTATTATTATGCATTGCCTGTCAACTTCAAATCAAATTCCCTAATATGACATTCCTTTCTGGTTTTTCCACCACAGCTGATATCTGCTTCTTATCAATCGAATAAATCTCACTGAGAAATTCCCAAGTGAATTCAGTCAATTACCCTGTATTTTCATTCCTCGTATCCATCTTCCTTAATTTTTTCTTTTAGTAAAAGTATTTTATAATAATTATCATTCTTTTTATCTCACAAAATGTCAACTACAATGCAGTCATTTAGCAGTAAACTCTCACATTTGCCTTTTCCTAACTTTCTATTCTATTTTGTTATGATCTTCCAGCATAAAAACAAAACACTGAGAACTGTCAACTGAGACATAAATCAACTACCAGTCTGTAGTTCTGCATATCAGCCTCATTTCTGTTCCTCATAAGGGAGTTTGAATATTTGTTTGCTTTCACAGAAAGCAAGAACAAATTAAACAATTTTAAAAATAAGCTAGCTATTTTAGCAGGTCATGGTGGTTCACATCTATAATCCTAACCCTTGGGAGGTGGAAGCAAGTAAATCAACAGTTCAAGGACATCCTCAACGATACCAGCCAAGGGTACAGAGATGCTGTTTCAAGCACAGAAAGAGAACAGGGGCTAGAGAGATGGCTCAGAAGTTAACGGTACTTGTTGCTCATTAGAGGGCCCATGTTTGACTGTGCAGGACAGAATAGACTTGAATTTCTGATCCTCCTGTCTCATCTACCCAATTCCTGGGATTAGAGGTATATAGCACTTGCCCAGTTTTTATTAAAAATACATGGGAGAAACAAACTCAGATTCTTTCTGCAGATATATACATATACATATATTTTTTTAAAAAAGACCAATTACTTCTAAAACACTTTAGACAAAATTCCTTCTAGTTTTCATCCTTTAGTGATTATATTTCCTTTCTAAACAGCATTCCACATATCCCAGGCTGGCCTCAAATTTGGCTACGTAGCTTTCAGTATGGCCTTGAACCTTCAGTCTCTACTTCCCTAATCTGGGATTACAAGCATTCACCACCAGTCCTGTTTATTTGGTGTTGGAGAACAAACCTAGGGCAATAATAGTGTATACTAGGCAAGTACTCTATCATAAGCTAATCCCCAGTCCTAGCCATTTATCCTCTACACAGACCTTTTCTGAGACAGAGCTTCTCTGTAGCTTTGGAACTAGCTCTTGTAGACCAGGCTGGCCTCAAACTCAGAAATCCACCTGCCTCTGCCTCCTGAGTGATGGGGTTAAAGGCATGCACCACCACCACTTGGCTCAATTTCTTTTAACTTTAACTGAATTTATATTCCCCCAGCACTAACTTACGGAGCAAGGCACTGTGCCCAGAACTAATGTTCAAAGTAATTTTAGATAACTAAACCAATGTCTGTCAATTGTGGGCATAAAAAGCAGAAGAGACTATGAAAAAAAGATAAAGCCAACCAAGAAATTCAAAAGGCCATAACTTGAGAAGAAATGGACTTGAGAAGAGGGTCTACCCAAATACTTGTCATACTACAAATACAAACTCAAATGATCTTGAAAAAATTCTGTCAAAACAAAGGAATCTCAGAAAGTACTGTATAATATTTTTTTAACTTAGCTACTAGGAATTGCACGACTGTTTTCTAACGAAGGAAGAGTACTCCACAACGGCATGTCAAAGGGAAGAGAGCGAGCAGAGACCTTCAATCCTGCACCAGTTTCTAGACTGCAAGCCCCAGCATTAAGTGTTCCCAATTTTAATATAAAGGAAACATACCAACGTGTAAACTGTTTAGAAACAAAATTTTCAGAAATACCTTTCTGTTCCACAGTTCCAAGCACTCAGGGTTAGGAACGGCTTATTAGAAAAAAAGAATCACCAGTAAATTCTTACACTTTTAAGTACAGAAAACAAACACTAATGTTTCAGATAACCAAGTGTAATCTTTAAAAACTCTTAAACTAAAATTTACCTTCTCATAGACATTTAGGTACCCCAACTCTCTTAAGATCCTTCCAGACAAGGTGTAACATCCACTTTGGAATATAATGAAAAAAAGCCTCATTACCATTTAAAGACCCACGAAGAAGTTTACTCTCCTAAGTCGTTAACTCCCCGTTACTCAAACCATTCAAGACCTTGTTACTCTATAATCTGTTTAGAAAGTCTCACTCATAAGAATAATTTTTCATGACATTTACGAGGTGTACCTTCAACTTCAAAATCAGAATTGGCGTCGGCAGCCCACTGGCAGGCCCAGACCAGGAAGGTGATGGGGAAAGGCAGAAGCAGGTGCACCCCGCGGCTCTAGTAACCAGAGAACACAGAAGGCGGGGTCTGGAAAGCGGTTACGGGGCGGGGGGGGGGGGTGGTAGGGGCACCCAGAAAGCCCGCTTCTTCTAGCGCCAAAACACGAGCTGTTACCTAGTTCACACAACACTTAGCTAATAACAGCCATGGAGGAGGAGTTGCTTTGTTTCGATTTTTTTTTGGGGGGGGGGGGGAGACGACAAGGCGAGCTGCGCAGGAGCGGGCCGCATATGGAAAAAAAGTTCGTTCAGGCACGCGCCCAATACCTAACACCTAGTCCCGAACCGCAGTTTCTGCAGAGCAAGAAACGCTATCTGGATCCCTCCGGGCCTCTCGGTGCCCCCGATTCTAGATTCGAAGCCACCGGATCTGCAGGAAGGGATGGAGAAGGGGCGGTGGGAGGGGCGCGGAGAAGGGTTATTAAATTAACCTTCTCCGCGCGAGGAGCCACTAGCTGCAGGCAGGAACGCCTACCCGGGCCTTTCTGCTCCAACAACACAAGCGACAGCAGAAAGTGCGTGGTGGACCCGGGTCGCAAACGCTCTCCACCCAGGATTCGGGCCGCGTGGGGGGGACTCACACGATGGAATCTGGCGGGTGGGGTGGGAGGGGAGTGGGAGGGCGGCCACTAGGCCGCAGGCCGGCCGCCAAGGCCTGCTTCCCTGAGAACGCATCACCCCAACTGCAGCTCGGCTTCCCCTCCACCCTGGAGCACCCGGGCACCGCGTGAGGGGGTCCCGGGGTCAGGCCGAGGCGACAAGACTGTGCAGGCGCCAGCGCGTCCCCAAGGCGCTCACCAGACATGGTGTCAAGTCAGGGGCTGAGAGGCGCCAATGTCAGCCGAGGGGGATGACGATCGCGCAGCCAGGGGACCCCAGAGCCGAAACGGGCAGGCGTGGCCCCAGAAGCCCGGCCCGGCGCCTCCAGGCTCTCGGGCCCGCGGTTGCCAAGGGCCGCAGACGCGCAGGCATTACCTGTAAACGAAGGCGCCCCTCCTGCCGAGGGCGGAGTGGCAGTCGGCCCCCACAGGAGCCGCCGCCGAGCAGCGGTTCTTCCTCGAAGACCGCGGCCGGGAGGCCCACAAGTTTCCTGACTGCCCAGAGCCCAATGGCCGCCTTCTCTACATTAGCTACTAGGCGCCAACCGCCGCAGCCACCGCCATCTTAGGACCTCATTGTGGTGGGAGAAGAGGGGCGGGGGAACTGCAGAGGGGGGCAACGCTCGGCGAGACGTGCGCCGTCTCCTCGGCAACGGCCGCGCGGGGGCGAGAACTCGCCTGGGCTGGAGCCGCAGTGCGAACCCGGGGCGCGCAGGACTGGGGTCACGTGACGCCCGGGAGCCTGTGGTGTCACTTGGGGCCTCTAGTCGGGAAAGGATTGAACCCAAAAGAACGACCTGAAACTACATATCCCAGAATGCCAACTCATCCGGGTACCCGAATGTACAGAACTACAAATCCCAGCATGTCGTGCGCCTTCTAGGCTCGAGGCCTGTGCCCGACTATATTGATATTGAGTGCTTTAGTTCTTGGAGGAGCTGGGAGACTGCTTTCTGATTTTCCATGGAGACTGAAGGACTAGGAATGTCCTGGATTCCTACCCACAATACTGCCTCGAAGGACACTGTCGGGCCTTTGCAATCTAATCACTAAATTTTAACAAAGAAATTAAACCCACAGGTATTCAAGTTTGCTGCGCTCTTGTCATATCTGATTAGTCGGTGGAAGAATCATAAATATTTGCAAAGGTCATCGCCTCTTGGAACGCTGTCCCGATTCCTTGTTGATAGAAACAGATGGTTTTTAAAGCAGAGTTTAATCTCGCTGCGTTTTCTCTGAACCCGTAGTCTTCGAATTCCTTTTTAATTTATATTCTTGACAGTTGTATTAAGGTTAGTAAATGAACAGATAATGGTTTTTAAACAGCACAAAAATTCAATAAGCTTGCAAGGTTTTCAATATGCCAGGCTGCAAAGTTAGAATACCTGTCCATTTTAGTTCCGTACAAGGACGTGAACACTTTTTAATTATGGGATGAGGTTTTTAAATTTACGGTAGGACAGTAGGAAAGAATAGGCTTCTGGGTTTCCACAATAAATTGTTTCCCTCAATTACCAACAAATTGTTTACAAAACAAAAAATAGCACAGCTGTCTCAGAGCACGGTTCATAACAATAAAACTCTTCCAACCCACTACAATATACTACAATTTACTCCTGTGGTCAGGTTCGCTGTCAGTGGAACGATCCTTGTGCATTCATTTTATTTCCTTTTTGAGGCAATGTCTGGTGTATCCCAGGCTAGCCTCAACTCTCTGACTGCAGATCCTTCTGCCTCTGGAATGCGGGGTGTGCATTGCTGGAAATCAAATCCAAGGTTTCAAGCATGCTGGGCAAACTTTCTGTCAGCTGAGCTACCTGTCCTGTCTGTCTGGGAGTGGATATTGAACTCAGGGCTTTTCAACATGCTTGGCAAGCACTGGACAACTGGCCTATATCTTTAGACCTCCTTTTGATTCTCATTTGGATCTGAGACTCACAAAGTTGCCTATACTGAACTTAAACTTGGACACTGTGGGCTTTTTTTTTTTTTTTGAGAGTGTGTCTTAGAGGACCTAGGGGAAGGAGTGGGGATGTATGTGAATGTGACCAAAACAAATTGCATGATACTTGCAAAAAAAATTAATAAAAATACTGTATATTTTAAAAGCCTTTCCTCAAACTAAAATACCAGCATCATCAGATTTTGTAGGGAAAGAGGAAAAGAAGGTGAGAAGTTGTAAAATTATTCCAACTTCCAAAAATTTGGCTTGTATACATAGAGTCATACCTTAATTTGGAAATGAATCGGTTTGGTATTAGTAATATCTGATTGTGCCAAATAGATGATATAGGCAGAAGTGCTTTAGTAATTGGGGGGAGGGTAATTTTATATTATCTCAAAAATAAGAGTGTCTCTAGGATTTCTGTGTAGGATGAAACAAGATGAAGCCATCCATAAAAATGTGGATGGGGGACTAAGGGTGGGTATGGGGGACGTTCAGAAAAAGCAGTGGCCAACACAGAAACCAGACTGGCGGAAGTACAGATTCATGTCAGGTGAGGCATGGGGGAGGCTGGAGAAGCTGTTACTGGGTCCAAAGTGTAGAAAGCCTTCCCTACTGATCTGAAGAAGTTGGACTTCGTTCCACAGGCCATGTGAAACTATTTGAGACTTTGGAAGAGGTTCTGTTTGGTTGCTTTGCAGTTCTGGAGAGAGAACCTAGGGCTTTGCACGTCATGGGCAAGTGATGTTCTACTGCTACATTGCCAGCTCTTGTATCTCTCTCTCTCTCTCTCTCTCTCTCTCTCTCTCTCTCTCTCTCTCTCTCTCTCTCTCTCTCTCTCTTTTTCCGAGACAGGGTTTCTCTATGGCTTTGGAGCCTGTCCTGGAACTAGCTCTGTAGACCAAGCTGGTCTCGAACTCACAGAGATCCGCCTGCCTCTGCCTCCCGAGTGCTGGGATTAAAGGCGTGCACCACCACCGCCCGACCTTTGTTTTTCTCTTTCTCTTCTCCTCCTTACTTTTTCTTTTGGCAGGCTGCCCTGAACTTATGATTGTCCTGTTCCCACACTTTGAGTGGCATTGTCTCTCATATTGAACATGAAATCGTTGAGACTTCAGGGCCACGTGTAGTACAAACTAGGAAGAGAAGCAAAGGGAGCAGAGACCAGAGAGGGTGGCTTCTGGTTTGGTATTAAGGACTAACTGAATGAATTCAATTACAATTACAATTCAGTACTGGGGTTTCCACTAGCAAACTTAGTGTCACGATGGGGAAAATACTACTTGTTTCTGTTTCTTGATACCTAGTGGGACACTGGTCCAGTGGTACTTACAATATAACATGTTGTATTTCTATTGTTTATATTTTAAAATACATTTTACTTGTTTACTAACAACAGATTATATCTGTAACTGAAACTTTGCTCTTTGTACTTCTCTACATAGTCTCAGTTCCTTGCAGATTTCATTTGTTTTGGTATTCCTCAATTTATCTTTATTTTTTTATTTAAAAAAAAAACCACGATTTTCTGCAATAGCTAGTTTAACCTGCAGGTGGTGATAGTACATAAAAGAAAAATCTGGAGTGTCCATAAACCGATTATAACCGACTTGCCTTGTTTTTATTATGTAATTATTTTTGGCATAATGCAAAGAATGTGTTAGATATTTGTGCTAAGCTAAAATAATAAAATCCTGCAAGGATTCATTAAATAACCTAAAATAATCGATTTACCATTGTAAGAACTCCCCATTCTTTCCTACAAAATCCCTCCTCTTTACAACCATAGACACTATCCTGAATTGGTTTTTATCATTATTTCACTTTCCACATATAATTATGTGTATTCATGAATAAATATTGCTTCATTTTTCAGTTTCTAAATTTGATATAAATGGTATCACATGATATAATGATATAAATGAATATAGTCTTATTCGACTGACTTTGTTCGTTCAACATTATCTCGCTGAAATGTATCTGTGTTGCTCTGTGTAAATACAAAGCCTAAGTAGAATATGAAAGTGATTTTGAAATACACTTAAAAGTACAATTCAATTTAAACTACCTTAGTGAATAGCTTGATGAAAGCAGATCTTGGTCATGCCATGCAAAATTCTGATGACCTCTGGCCTAGTTCCTGTGCTTCTGTTCAGTTTATAGACTGTTACTTCTCTGACTTAATCTAGTTCCTAGTTTCTTCATTACGGCACTGTTGACGTGTTGGACTTAATGATTCTTGAGGTTGACTTTTGATTTTGCGTGTATGTGTGTGTTTATTCGTTTGGGATGTGTGTATGCATGCAGGTCAGAGGGCAATTGTGGGGAGCTCTGCCCTTCCGCCACGTGGTTTCTAAGGGTGGCACTTAGGTTATCAGGCTTAAAGACGAGGCTTTTACAGACTGAGCGATCTAGCTGGCTGATGGGTTGTGGGGTTTGTGTGTGTTGTTTTGTTTTAGGGATGGGAGTGGCTATTCTGTATACTACAGGATATGTAGCAGCACTACTTGGCCTCCACTCACAAGGTGCGTAGAACAATTAGCTTCCCAGTGATGGAAACCAAAAGATGCTGACTTTAATTACCACATGTCTCCTAGAGCAGAAAAGGATGAGGAAAATCACCCCTTGCTGAAAAACACAGGTCTAGTCTAATTGCGATTTTCTTATGTATCTCTTATGGTTTAAAAAAAAAAAACCTCTGTTAACATATATAATTAAATCAATTATATGATTATATCGGCGAATTAGATCTGATCCACAGGTATAGTTCAGGTTTCAAGACTTCTGATACCCTTCTCTGTTCCCCTTCTATCAGGGTACTCTGGCATCTCTCATTACTGCCCAGTTTCGATTCTTCATCACCAAACTCACAAATATCTAAGTGCTGTTCTCAAAATGGAATATTAATGTGTATATTATACCAGTTTGGGTTACTGACTTATTCATACCCAATTTGTGTCCATTTCTCTCAAAAAAAAAAAAACCACTCCTTTGAGAAATAGAATTCTTGTGATTCTAATTCCAGCCATGTTAGCATTTTATCCACCTTCCCTATCTTTACTTCTACAGAGTTATAACTACCATACATTTCTTATATTTTCTTTGTATGTCTTTTTTGGGGTGAGGAGTTATATGCCTTCACTCATCCTGTTTATCCATTGCAACCCTGGTCAGGTCTGCACTATGTGCAATGCGCACTTCTTAGGATCAGATTAAAGGGACCCAAGCGACACTAGACAAAAGACTATACATCCCTACAGCACGAAAATATGGCACAAATAAATGGCGAGCCAGGCAGTGGTGGCGCACGTCTTTAATCCCAGCACTCGTGAGGCAGAGGCAGGCGGATCTCTGTGAGTTGGAGGTGAACCTGGTCTACAAGGGCAAGTTCCAGGACAGGCTCCAAAACTACAAAGAAACCTTGCCTCAAAAATAAATAAATAGTAGATTTTTAAAACGAAATCTAATTAAACATAAAATTTTAAATAAAAATTAATTAAATTAGATGATGATGAAAAGTATTAAGGGTAGGAAAGTGACCCCTCTGTTGTCACTGTTAAGACCCCATTGTTAAAAGCAAAGCTACATGAAATAAGGACTCAAGTTTGGGATAGTTGTAAGAGAGAAGTTTGATTTTTAAAATATTAAATCTAGTCTAAGACAGTATCTTTTTCTAAATAAATAAGATCTTTAGGTTTGTCAAATGCTTTCAAATAAGTGCCCACTTTTGGATGAATATACAACAGGATTTGCTGCAGAATATTGTTTACACTGTGAAGATGTGGCTTTGCCAAGACGCTTTCTGATTGGCTTAATAAAGAGATGAATAGCCAATAGCTAAGCAGGAAGAGGTTAGGTGGGACTTCCAGAGACAGAGAGGACTCTGAGAAAAAGAAAGGCAGAGCCATTAGTTAGATATAGAGGTGCAAGATGGAAGAGAGGTAACGCACATGGCAGAACATTGATTTAAAAAATATGGGTTAATTTAAGTTTAAGAGCTAGTTGAGACAAGCCTAAGCTAAAGGTCAAACTACCATAATTAATAATAAGTCTCCAGGTCATTATTTGCAGACTGGCCATCCCAACTAGAAAGTATTACTTACTACAGTGGTTGACTCTACTCTGAGCCATATGAGAGACACTCCATTATTTAGGAATAGCTGTGGATACTATTGTTTTCCTGTTCCACCTTTGAAAGTCTCATACAGTGCATCTCTCTTGCCATGATGAAGACTCTAAACTTGGAGAAATGACAACACACACATACATTCAGATTAACCAGATAAATACTAGAATGTTCTTTCTTTGCCAGAAGAGAACAAAATATTCCTAGGGATAACAGCCAAGAATGTTGGGTGATAGAATGAACTACCAAAGATGCTACACTTGGTCTAAGGAAGCAACAAGCAGAACTCTAACCATAAGGGATCCAGAATAGTGTAAGGCAGCAGCTGACAAGCTTCCTAGAAAGGCCAGGCATTAAATATTTCTGGCACTGTGAGCCATACCATACATGCTCTGGCTGGTGATGTTGTTCAGTCGGTTGAATGCTTGCCTAACCTGATAAAACCTGAAGTTTGATCTCTAGCACTACAAAGAACTATGTAGCATGTGCTCAGAAACCAAAATCCCTTAGAGGCAGAGAGAGAAAAATCGAGTTTCTAGATCATCCTAAGCTACATGGTATAGTTGGAGGCCAGCCTAGCTTACAAGAGACCCTGTCTCAAAAAAAAAAAAAAAAATCTCAGTGTTCAAAGGCAATAACTACCCTCTGTAGTAAACACTTCTCATCTGACGGAATCTTCTGGGGAGGACGGTTGGGTTCTAGGGAGTATGATTGGTGGACAGTGTATGGGAGGGGTAGGGAGGTTCAGAGGAGAGAGACTGTTATTGGGAAATTATGGAGGATTAGGAAGGTGTGGAAGAAACCAGTTTCCTCGTTATGATCCACGTTAAACCTCGGCTGCCACTGACTCTGTCTCTTTATTCTTCTTTGCCTCCAGCACAGTCCAAAACGCTGCTCTCGAGAGCTGATACCACACCTTTTGGGCTATTAGCTTCAAAACTTGTGAGGGTCAACTGCTTTCCTGCATTTCTTGGCCTGAAGTTTTTTGTTACTGAATGCAAAAGTACAGAAGAGGTTTGGTTTTTATTTTTTTAAGCCTAAGGAAAAATAAGGTTTTGTTTTTATACATGATTACTGATGAAATTCGGACAGCCATTTTTATTCGTATTATTTATATGTTACGTGCCTCGAATGTATACATTACAGCAATAACAAAAGAGGACTTGATATTTGATTCAGTACCAAGGACAGTCACGGGAGACGAGATGGTATGCTTGCCAGGCATTGTTTCCATACCAAGCAATCTTCAATTTAGCCAGATACATTCTTCTTTCTCTTTTTCTCGAAAGTTCTGAATGTGTCAAAGGAGACACATATCGAGGAGACATTCTTGCATACAGCGATTCCCCCACAAGTCCAGATCATCAAAAGATTAGAGGGTAACTCTGAGATCTGGGTTTACACTCCCATACAGGTCACCAGGCTAGTTGGATGGACTTTTCTCTTCTGGAGATTTGAAGTTTACGTGGACAAGTACAGAGGCTAGATTTCCACTGGAATTCAAACATTTTTAATGAGTAGCACACTATAGGTAAGTCCAAGAACTCTTTTTTTTTTTTTTTTTTTGGAGCCATCCTTAAGTGCTACATTTTTGCTTGTCTGTGTCAGTCTTTAATTGGATCTGCTATTTGTCTAGTATCCCTCTAGTGAATCTAATCTATTTTTGCTTCAGACGTCAAGATGATGCCTGTTAGCTTATAACAAGAACAAAACGTCTCTGGAACTAGGCCTCAATATTTCAGAATCTTTCATTGCTGATGGCAGGCACTAATTATATTCTAGAATTTGAATTATGAGTGTTATAGAATTTCCCTTTAATGCCTCTACAGAGGACGTAGGAAAGAACAAAACAAACAACAACAACAACAACAAAAGACAGCTCAAAACACTTCCATTTTAGAGGAGTCTTTAACTTTGTGTACATTCTTGGTCCTTCACACATGCAGCAGGTAACCCTTCTGTGCCTCTGCCTCTCTGTCTTTGTCTCTCTCTCTTACACACACATACATATATACACATAGGTAGACATATTTTAAAAAACAGAGATGGCCATAAGACAGCGGTTTTCAGCTGAGGGCTGTTTGACCTCAGGGGCCCACTTTGCAGCATCTGGGTTCATTTTGGTTGTCACAACAGGGGAGAAGGGGCAGAGATGTTAACAGCAGCCAGGAGGTGGGAGCAAGGAACACTACTAAACATCCCACTACACACGAGACAATCACCATGGAAGAACGGATGGCACAGAATGGTTTAAACTCAATTATCAATAATACCAAGGTTAAGAATCCTTAATGGACAATTAAATGTAGACACAAAGCAGGTTCAGACCAGTTTTGGTTTGTTTACTTTTTTTGATTCTAGCACATTTTTTGACATATGGCAATTGTGAAAGTATTTGATAAACCTTTATATTATTATTTTTTTAATTTTATAAGACATTTTAAAATGTGGTTTTACTTACCAAGTGCTCTTGTTTTCTTTTTATCCCCACAGAATTTTTTTCACAGTAAAGCTGAATTTTTTTTCATGTGCTAAGTGTAAGAAAATAAAATCTGTTATTGATTACAATTCAACCTTTATTTGGTAGAAAAATATGGCATATGATCTTATGAGGAGAAAAATGGTGCTGTTCAGAAGCATAACATATACATAACTCCAAAGTCCTTTGTACAGAGAAAGAAAACCAAATATTTTCCTCGGTTGAAGCTTGTTTTAGCTTTTTTAAGAAAAAAAAATGGAATAAGAAAAGACTTTTAATTTTTTTTCCGGCTTGATAACTCATTTGCTGTTGGTTATATAACCAGAGGTAAAACAAAAGATTCAAATAAATGAGAAACTGGAGTACCAAGTAATCATTTCATTGTAACTTAACTGGGACCCTTGGAGGCTCAACACTTCTAGGAAATCTGACAAATGTTTATTATGTCTTTACATTCTCCTTTACAAGCTTACAGAGAGCATCAGACAGATTTTCCTCTTCTCTTTTTTTCTTTTCTTTTTCCTTTTTTTTTTTTTTTTGAGACCAGGCCTTTGACAGTCCTGAATCTTAAATGATTGCCCAGCAGGCATCAGGGATCCCCCTGTTCCTGCCCTTCCAGTGCTAGGATAACAACAGCATGTCACCATGACCGGATTTTTTTTTTAATGTGCTGCTATGTCCATTTTGTTTTGTTTAGTTTTGTTTGTTTAATATCTGAGATCTGGGGGAGCATGCTCTGGTGTTTCCTGCTTGTCAGACAAGCACTTTGGGGACTAACCCATCTCTCCAGTCCTGGTCTCACTCTTTACCATGTATGCTTTCATTTACTTTTTCTGATCATATCTTATTCCTTCCAATGTTCCTTAAGCCTTAAGTGAAAATGCTTTCCGGATCAAATTCTCTCAGTTGTAAAATGAGGCAAAGGCATGAAGAGAGTAGAAAGTACATCTGAGTGAGGAAGGAGTCTAATGTATGTATGTATGTATGTATGTATGTATGTATGTATGTATGTATGTATGTATCTATCTATCTATCTATCTATCTATCTATCTATCCATCCATCCTGATCTACCTGCCACTCCCTAGAATTTGTTTTGTAGACCAGGCTGGCCCCAAACTCAGAGATCTGTCTGATTCTGCCTCCCAAGTACTGGGATTAAAGGCTTGCACCACTGTGCTCAGCTAGTGCTTGTAATCTTTTAACTTGTGTATGTTGGAGGAGTCTGCTTGTTGGTTCCAAGCTGCCCAGCCCTGAAATAATCACACAGAAATTGTATTAATTAAATCACTGCTTGGTCCATTAGTGCTAGCTTCTTATTAGCTAACTGTTACATATTAATTTAACCCATTTCTATTGATCTGTGTATCTCTACGAGGCTGTGGCTTACCGGGAAAAGTTCTGGCGTCTATCTCTGGCAGGGCTACGTGGCTTCCCAGCATTCTCTTTAGCTCTGTTCCCCTATAGCTCTGTTTCAAAGTAGTTCCTTTATTAACCAATGTTATTCATAGTATACAGAGGGGAATCCCACACTACGTGTATCATTTGTGTTCTCTTTGCTATTGTCAGTTTATGCCTTTTTGTTTCACTGTTTTCATTTTTGAGGGGTTTGGAGAGGGAGCACAGATAAAAGTGTATAGTCAATTTCTCATATTTATTAGGAGGGTTTATGACAATTTAATATTAGCTAGGGGAAAAACATGTCTTTTGTAAGGAGAAAGCTTTTCTGTTTTTTGGTGAGTGACTTTTTATTAAAGATATATCTTGTTTTATATATACATATATATTTTATACGTATATATACAAGCATACACACACACACACACACACAAAGTGCTCTATCTGCATGGACAACTTTATGCCAGAAGAGGGCATCAGATCCCACTATAGATGGTTGTGAACTACCATGTGGTTGTGTGTGGGGGGGGGGGTATTGAATTCAGGACCTCTAGAAAAACAACCAGTGCTCTTAAACACTCAGCCATCTCTTCAGTCCAGTGGATGATCTTTTAAAGAGGTTTTTTTTTTTTTACATAAAAATAAGGCCCAGGTTATATTCTGAAATGGAAATCTTGTGGAAATAAAAATAAAAATTCCTCTGCATATTACTAGTTTATTATTATTATGTTACTAGTCTTTATTCCTTTTTTTTCGAGACAGGGTTTCTCTGTAGCTTTGTTGCCTGTCCTGGAACTCACTCTGTAGACCAGGCTAGCCTCAGATTCACAGAGATTCACCTGCCTCTGCCTCCTGAGTGTTGGGATTAAAGGAGTGTGCCACCACCACCTGACTCTAGTTTTTATTCTTATCTTTGAAGGGGAGATAGAAGTTTTGCCCCTTTTTTATGTGGCAAGAGGGGAGGTAAAGATAAAAACATGTTTAGAAACATCTCACTCATGGGAGATTTGATCCCTTGTAAACTCAGCACTTGGGAAGAAAAGCAGGAGGATTGTTTGGTGTTGGGTGTGGGGATCCAAGGTCAGCTCAGGCTACAAAAGACCTTTTCTCAATAGAAAACAAAACATCCATCTGCTACACCAGCAAAACATTCGAGGGATCAGGGCAGTTCCTGAGCTCCCAGAGTGCCCTGGAACAGAGCAAGACAACTAGGCTTTCAGGCAACACTGTAGGGATTTCCCTTGAGGATTGCAACAACTCTATCACTGCCTGCAGAGAGCCCCAGGGAGCAGTGAGAAGGTCCATCCACAGGACTCTGCATCCAAACAAGGCTTTGACCTTGATCACTTACACATTAAAATTTGTCTTTGCTCTTTGGTTATCCACGAAGTTCTGTTTTATATATTATATATATCGTAGGGTGAGTATGGTGGCTGGCCTTATGTGAACTGAAAGTATAGGCCAAATGGACCCTTTCCTCCCCAGCTTGCTTTTGGTCATGGAGTTTCATCACAGCAAGACTAACCGTACCTAAGACAGTGAGGTAGGTTTTGATGTTACTGTTGTTTTGTAAATAGTAACAATTAAGCAATAAATAAATGAGAAACAAAAGTGGATCTTACGTTTGATTTGGTTCAGTCACTTAATTTTGTAGAGGAGAAAACTGATGCTCAAAGAGATGGCACGACTTGCTGGAATGGGCAATGGTGGCTCCTCCAAAGCAATGCAGATGCCAGACTTCAGCAAAATCAAACAATGGTCCCTTAACTGTACAGCTCATATTTCATCATAGCTGGGATGAAACCAGTCTATATGTCCATCAACAAATGAGCTAATAAACATCACACACACACACACACTCAAACTATTCAGTCGTAAAGAAGGATAAAATTATGTGAGTTACAGGAAAATGGATAGAACTGGAGGCCATCATGTTGAGTAAAACAATCCAGGCTCAAAATATTAAATATTCCATACTCATATGTGAAATCTATACTTAAAATATATATTTAAAAGTATAAAAAAATGAAACAGAAGAGAGAATGAATAGACTCATTATCTATCAAAAGTAGTACAGAAATCCAACTTTTGTTTTGTTGTCGTTGTTGTTGTTTTTGGAGACAGGGTTTCTTTGTAGCTTTGGAGCCTGTCCTGGAACCGGCTCTTATAAACCAGGTTGTCCTTGAACTCACAAGTACTCGGATTAAAGGCATTCACCACCACTGCCCAGCTCAGAAATCCAACTTTTGATAATGGGTTTGAATTAAGGCCTCTTATTGGATCCTACAATCTGCATCTTCTGCTTTTTCCTCATGCCAGTGATATTGTTTGTTGTTTCTACCAAGCTCTGTTGTCTAAAGCCTCTGCGCACACCCAGACTGTGTGAAATAAAAATTTAACTGATATTGGTTATAGCTACCAATTAGTAAAGACCAGATACTTTTCAAAAGGTTAAAAAACAACAACAACTGTATTCACCAGACATAAGGTATAAAGAGGACTACATGGTCTGTGTTGGGAAGGACTCAAAAGGAAGGGAAAACGAGAGAGCAACGGGGGAAAGTGAAGAAAAATGTTGTATTTTTCTTCTCACATGAAAACTCTAGCTTTACTACACACACACACACACACACACACATTATGAAAGTGGAAGAGGAATTCTTTTGGGAGGAAGAATGGTGCTAGCAGTAAGGGAAGGCAATGGGTATCAAATATGAGCAAAATACAACGAAAATATCACAGTGGAACCCTCTATTTGCTATGCTAACCAAAACAAATCAGTAGAATTTTAAAAAGAGAACAGTATACTGTGGAAATAAACTAATAGATCAGTTACCTGGGTCTACTTGGTGATAGGGCTGAGAGCTGACCTGTCTCTGCTGTAGTTTGAGTTGGCAGAAGACAGATAGACTGAAATTAAAACCTTCACGTTAGGATTTGCTCAAATATCACACACCAGGCAGGCCTCCAATCCAGCAGGCAAATGCAAGGTCGAGCAGGTTCAGATGACAGCCGCCCTGTGTCTGATGTATAAAGTGAAGAGTTCTCTGGGTGAACTTTTCTTCTTTCAAAAGAGAGTAAAATAATTCATTTGCCACTGCTTAGTTGATTCATCCCAGAGGTACAGAATCATGATCATGAAGGGCCTGTACCTTCTGCTCAATGAAAATGTCCTTGAACAGCAAATAGGACCATTTATTGAAAAGAAGGCCCCCAAGATGATCCAGTGTCCTCTGCTTTCCAAGTCTCCCTGTTTGGTTTTTAATTCATAGCCATAGCCCACAAGGAGCAGATTTTCTAGGTAAAATCAAGAAGTTAGAAGGCAATTCTCTTTTTTTTTCGTTATTAATAAATTAGCATTCCTATTTCACATAATCCTCAAGAAAGCAAGTATTGAGTCAGTTAGTCCATAGATTCTCTTAGGGAGCCACATAAATCTAGCTTCTATGAGCTGTAAATCTTAATGACCTCACAGTTTAGTTCACTGAAGCTTGTTTTAAAACCTATGCCCTGGGAGCCAGCATAGTGGCACACACTTTAATCCCAGCCCTTGAGAGGCAGAGATGGGTAGATCTCTGTGAGTTCCAGACCAGCCTCGTCTAAATAGTGAGTTCCAGGCCAGTCAGAGCTACATAGTGAGACTAGAGTCTCAAAAACCAACAAAGGGCTGGAGAAATGGCTCAATGGTTAAGAGCACTGACAGCTCTTACAGAGGACCTGAGTTCAATTCCCAACAACCACATGGTGGCTCAAACCATCTATAATGAGATCTGGTACCCTCTTCTGGCCTGAAGGCATACATGTAGGCAGAACACTATAATAAATAAATAAATAAATAAATCTTAAAAAAAAAAAAAAACAAGAAACAATAACAATGATAAAAACATGCATTGCCAGGGCTGGAGCTGCTCATTGGATGAGAGCCCTGGCTGCTCTTCCAGAAGACCCAGGTTTGATTCCCAGCACCTATGCTAGCTCACAGCCTTCTGTAAGTCACATCTCAAGGGATCTAACACCTCCTTCTGGCGGTAGTCATACATGTGGTACACAAACATATATTCAGACAAAACACCCACATATAACATAAATAGAATTAGAAAAGAAAACAAAGACTCACTGGGCATTGGGACTGGGGAAACAGCTCTGTTGGTAGAGTGTTTGCCTGGCATGCATTAGTATGTTATTGATGCCTGAAATCCCAACACTCTGGGAAGTGGAGTTCCAGGCCAGCCTGAGCTGCATGAGATCCTAACAATAAACAAATACTCATGCCTTTAAGTATGCATCCCGACCTTTCTGTTTCTGGTCTATTGCCTCAACACTGGACCAACCTGCTCCTCTTATTTAATTTTTTTTTTTTGTTATATTTCTTTCAGATCTCAGGTTGAGTCTCATTTCCAAGGTTTTATACAACCATGTAATTTCGACTTTTTTTTTTTTGGAACCTGCAATCTTCCTGCCTCAGCCTCCTAAGTAAGGGCTGATAGCACAGGCTTGTGGCAGCACACCAGTGATTTGATAATTCTTATGACCGTTCTTCCACTCTGTTTGCCCACTCCTCTCACCCCAAATTGCCTGGCAAAACTCTTCGAAATTGCAGGTTGGAGCCTGCTTTCACAGGACATTGACCCTAAATATTGTTCTTACCGTCTGATTAGCTTTTTCTGCATTTCTCTTGTAACAATGATCTGAACCAAGTCCTTGATGAACACCATAATCTAACTTTCACAGTGAGGTTCATGAATTCAGAGCCAGATTGCCTTTGAGTCCTGGTGGCTCCACCTCTTGTTAGCTGTGTCACCTTGGGCAAATTATTTCAACTTCTGTGCCTTATCCCCTTACCTGTGAAATGGAGACAGATGGTAGACCAGTAGGATATTGAGACTGAGTTAATGTAGCTACTGCTATGGCTAGGGTTATATAGCTCACCGGTAAAACAGGTTCTGGTTCTGAGAATGTGGTAGGCCATAGGTTTAATCTCCAGCATCACCAAAAGGCAAAGAAAGAAAAAAAAACAATCTTACTATATTTGGCAAGGAGAAAATGTGGCAAATGTGGTAGTTCTTGCTATTTTTACTCTTGTCCCCTTCTGTAGACCTCCTGTGACTTTAGACTTTACCAATTTTTTTTGAATGGAGAGAAAGCAATGAAGACACAAGGAAGAAAAATAAGTTCAGACTATCACACTTCAGCACAGTGGTTATTACCACATTAGCTTTAAAACTTCTTATTTTCCTTTTAATGTCAACAGCTTGAATTTTCTAACATTTTAAATGCTATAATTCGTCTGTATGTGTAGATCATTTCAGTCTAAATGACATTTTTCCTTTTTCTTAAATTTTATTTATTGTTTTTAATGGAACTATACATTTTCCCCTCTCCTCTTCCACCCTCTTCCCTGCTCCCATGCTTCCAATTTACTCAGGAGATCTTGTCTTTTTCCTTCTTTTTTTTTTTTAAATCATCAGAACTAACTTTTCTATAATAACTTCCAAATTTTCTAAGTAAATCATAAAAAAAGGTGTTTAACGGGAAGGTCAAAAACAGGTAATACTTTTGCTCAGTAAATAACAAAGGACAGAAGAAAAACGACGTGCATTTTACTGGAATCTGAGTTAGGAAATCGGGGCAGCAGAACAAACAGCAAACAGCAAATAGCTACTTGAGTTACATCAGAACGAACAGAGACAGAATGACCTGGGCTTCCAGCTTGAGACTGTTGCACAATGTGATTAGTGGAACTAGAAGTTACCTATTGCATGTCAGAAACTGCTCCAGAGGCTTTGAAAACAGAAAGAAGAGCTTGCTGAGAGTACAGCCCACGCTTACAGGTGCGTGTTGCAATTTCACATATAGAGAACGCTTTTGCTAGTGGACAGCCCCACATCCATGAACATATGGGTAACACTAATAGGACTTTAGGGGGTTATCAAGGAAGGAAGGAAGGAAGGAAGGGAGGGAGGGAGGGAGGGAGGGAGGGAGGGAGGGAGGGAGGGAGGGAGGGAGGGAGGGAGGGAAGGAGGAAGGAAGGNGCTTTTGCTAGTGGACAGCCCCACATCCATGAACATATGGGTAACACTAATAGGACTTTAGGGGGTTATCAAGGAAGGAAGGAAGGAAGGAAGGGGGGGGGGGGGGGGGGGAGGGAGGGAGGGAGGGAGGGAGGGAGGGAAGGAGGGAAAGAGGGAAGGAGGAAGGAAAGAAGAAAGGAAGGAAAGTGATGTTGGGAGGGGGTCATGTTGTCAAGGACATGGAGGGAACTTGGAGAATAGGAGATGGATAATATTTTATGTTTTCAGATCTAAAATTCTCAAAAATAAAGAAAAATAATAAAAAAAAGAGATCAAGTAAACTGGCCATTCAATCTGTGATGGTGATGTTTTCATACCTAAGAAAAATATGGCCTCTATCCATGTCTTAGCTGAATTTATACTTAGTGCTCCTCTTTGCAGGCGACAGCTTATTAACTTTAACATCTATAAGGCAAAGCTTCAGCTGCACTTTGATTTTAGGATAGCTAAAGTGCAAAATTCTCCGGGTGAGTGTAAGTATAAAAGGCTGAAATCAAGATATATAATCTGGGCTGGAGAGATGGTTTAGAGCTTAAGAGCACTGGCTGCTCTTCCAAAGGTCCTGAGTTCAATTCCCAGCAACCACATGGTGGCTCACAACCATCTGTAATGAGGTCTGGTGCCCTCTTCTGACATGCAGGCAGAACACCGTATATATAATAAATAAATAAATCTTTAAAAAATAAAGATATAATCCAATAAAATATCATGTAAGTGGGAGAAATTGAAAATGTAAGAGTTTGGGGGGTTTACCCTTGATTTATTTTTTTGTCTTCCTTCCAGTTAAACTGATTTCTTCATGTTGTTTCTGGATTAGAGCCAGAATCAACTTTGCCTCTTTCTAATCAAATAATGGAGAAGACAATTTACAAATGCTGACTTCAGTTAGCAGTGCCTGGGAGGCTGCGTCTGGCCTGAGCCTAGCCGAGGACTGATTCACTTTGACTCCGAGGTAAGTTACTATCTGCACTCTTGACTGGACTGTGGTAATGCTGACATTTTTTTCCATGAGAGTGGATGACAGTCCCCACAACTCAGAACATCACCATGGGCCTTCGAGAAAGTTTGGAATGATTGACACTGCAGTTTGGAGGAGAGATTTAGAATTTAACTAGCTTCTAGCCTCATTGTATTTTGGGTGAGTTTGGAGGAGAGGTTCAAGGTAGAACTTTCCGTTTCATTTCAGCCTACAAAGGAACAACCAGAACAGACCACATTGTGCTCTCGGCGTCCCAAACTCTTTTCTTTACTTCAGCTATTTGGAGATCAAATATGTTTAGTTTTTTTTTTTAAAAGCTTTTTTAAAATCATAAATTCTTAATATAAATAATGAGGATATAGTTATATTCTATTTAAAATGAGGGCGGGTTTGGAAAAAGCAGTCTCTCAGGCTGTGCTTACGGGTAAAATTTTAACTGTTTACGTTAAGGTTGTAGCTCATGTGTGACTGCTAACTTAGAAAACACACTGCTTTAAATAACTTTTCCTCCCTTTTAAATTTATTCCTTTTCATTTTATTGAAGGTTTTCCCCCTACCCTACCTGTAAATCCTCTCAGTTCCTCCTACCTCCCCTCCCGTCTGAATCTGTTCCCTTTCTGTCTCTCATTAGGAAACAAACAGGCCTCTAAGGCTTAATATAATAAGGTAAATAAAAACTAACACATCTGAGTTGGACAAGACAAACAAATAGAAGGAAAGGAGCCCAAGAGAAGGCACAGTAAACAGAGACCCACTTGTTTGCACACCCAGGAATCCCATAAAAACACTGAACTGGAAGCTAAGTGCAGACCAGACCCTGTGCTTGCTGCCTCGGTCTCTGTGAGTTCAGATGTGCCTGGAGCAGTGTGATTTAGAAGGCTCTGTGTTCTTGGTGTCCACCAGCTCCTCTGGCTCTCTTCTTTCTGCTTCCTCTTTTTCTAGGTTCCCTGAGCTCTGAGGGAGTGCATTTGATGGTGACATCCCATCTAGGAACGACTGTTCCAAAGTCTCTCACTCTCCACATATCTGACTGCAGATCTCTGCCTTTGTTCCCATCTATTGCAGGAGGAAGCTTCTCCGATGATGGCTGTGC